AGCAGGAAACAACTGGAACGTAGTTTCTAAATAAAATAATGGAACAGATTGTGTGTGATTTAAAACTATTAACTTAACAGTACTTAATTCACAGCATTTCCTTACCTAAAACCCTCTACAAAAACAATCCTCTGTGTTTATATATAAAGATAGCACATTCAGGCTTGTATTATGCCCAGAATTAAGGACAACTCAAGATGTACAGGTTCCAGCCTTAGACCACTTGAATGTTTGTGTGTCTGTGAGAAGCAGAGAAGAAACCTAGCTCTTTATCTACATGAATACCTTAAATGACAGTATTTTTCTCTTTTTGTGGCCATGCACAGTATTAATAACCTAACCAGAAGCTGTGATTCTCCAGAGGATGTGGTATACAAACATTTAATAAAACACACTCATAGCACAAAGGCACAACAGGGCCAAATGAAGAAAAGCAGAGACCTCTAGGTTATCTCTGAGTGTCTGACCTCATGGTTTAGTCCTGGAAGTAGTGTGACCATAACAACACAACACAGTACTTCTCAGATTAAGCTTTTGTGGGAAAAATTCTTCTGTATTAGTCACACTTTAGAACAAATATGAATATTGTACAAGTACAATACTGTAATAGCACAGGACCTCAGTTTAGCCTTCTGGTTTGGAAAACAACATGGAAATCATGCTTACTCATGAGCACCATTTGGCCAAGAAATATTATGTCATACTGCCTTTCCAGATTCAGAGCTGTAAGCTCAGAAGAAATTCAAAAGCTTTCTAGGCAGAAACTGGATTTACTACACAAAGCAGTTTTGCAAGAAGACTTTGTTAACAGCTGACTTGAAGAAAGCCAAAAAGCTTACCTTTCTCTCTTTTAGTAACTGTTTGTAACCACTAGCACCTAGAGACAGAAGTGTAATGAGGACATCTAAAGAAGGAGACGCAGATGCTCTTCCTGAGAAAAACAATATACAGATTGGCAAAAATAAAATTTATGTGAAAGCAAGCTGATAATCAAGTTTTCTAGTTATTTCATATGTATGAAATCAGTCCATGAACTAGTTACCTGGATACATTTTGCTGATCTCCTGAATGAAGGACTCATTGAAGCCAGCAATGACAGCACCACCTACTGGAACCATAAAATTTTTGTCCAGGCTCTGAACAAAAGCATCTATTCTGCCAACTCGAGCACCCTTTATCAAAAAGGAATGAAAAAAAAAATCCACAACATACATTAGGAAAAAGGAAACATGTGATAGCATCATTGTTACTCAGCAATGTAACTGAGATAAATATAATTCCTGAAACTCTCTCAGATATTGTATTTGTGATGAAAAATTAAAGATCATACTATTACCTTTCCTTAGCATTGCTTGACATTATGACCATTGTCTGCTTACATAGTACATTACAAATTCCTATTTTTCTATTATTTAAAATACTGATTTCAGTTCCTGCGAGTTTAAGTGTAGCTTATTTCCAACAACAACCCAAAAGAAAATCCTTGGAATTTAATGGGAGTTATACAGTTAAAACTGTACAACACAAAACATTTCACAGACTCTCACGGTTAAGGGCTACAGGTTAATGCTTCATTAGAAAATTTTTCTTGATACACATATAAATTTGCATTAAAACAAGAGGGTTGTGACAGCACCCCTTTTTATAAGGCTGCTTGCCATCTAACTTCCTATAGCAGATTTCCCCACTTCCCGGAAAACACAATGTCCTTATACCTATCCACTCAGATATTCTTAAAGGAAAAAGGTAGATTCTGCAGTACATCTTCAATTTGAGTAATATGCTGCTGTGAACTGTACAATTAAAATGTATGCAGCATAACAGAAATATACTTGAAAAGTATATTATAGAACATACATATTCAAGTATATTCAAATATAAACATATTAAAGTACTACAAACTAAACACAAGAAATAGAAACAAAGTTAATAGCTATATGTCAAAAAGAGTGAAAAAAGCAGATTCAACTAAACCACAGTTATTATTTCTATGTTTTAATAGCTTAGTGCATGGGAGATGGGAAGATGCACTCTGGGTTTGTCAGCTTTTTGATGGGAAGATGAATGCCAGCAGCTATCATTTGATTTAATTGACAGAAGACCACCAGAGGAAGAGCACGACAAATGAAATGGTCTCGAAAGCTCTTCCCTGTGATACTCTTGCAAATTCTGTTCACACCATGCTCAGCATGTGCATATTCCTAAGTATTCATTAATAACTACTTCCCCATAGTACATTTTCTATCACAGGAAATACATTTTTGTAAATAAATGTGAAACAAACCGAGCTCAAATATATACATTTGCATAACCAAAGAACAAACAAACAAAAAACCCGCAAACAACCTATCAAGAAGCCAAAAAACCCAGCAGAAACCAACAAAGTAACAGTTCTATTTGTAGCTTTGCAGCCTGAAAAGATTATCATTACATGCATTTAATGCAGTAAGACTCAGCAATTCCACAGCCCCCTTGTCAGAATCTCACTAAACTTGTGCAAGTTAAATACAACAAACACGTACCAAGTACATTACAAATAAAGCATATGCCATTTTCTATTTCACACATCAAGATTTGTCAAATTCCTTCAGTCTCTCAAGATTCAGAAATGCCAGCATGATGTTCCTGTTATGTATCAAGTTGTTCTGTGCCCAGTTAATAACATAATGTCTTCTTAATTAAAAAAAAATGACCAGCATATTTTAAATTCATAATAGTTCAGAATCCCCTGGATCCTATTAAAAAAATATCCCCTTATTCTTTTGATATGGGCAACAGAGAGAAAAGAGAAATATTGAAGAAACGGTGCACATACATTGCAATGAGCAAAAATGCAAGAATTCTAAGTTTTATGGTTGATCTTAGATAATAAACAACCTCCTTTTCAAACTAAACAGGAACAGAAATTAAACTTTTTGGAAACAACATTGAACTTAACCGAATTTCCTCTGCTGTTCTCTGTGACAACAATATTTTAACAGTGGCAACATCTATAAAGTGTTGCTGTAGAATTTTGTATCTTCAATTGAAAATCTGTAACTCACATTCTGTTGAAGGCTTAATCCCTATTCAAGCATGACCTATTTATTTTTAGTTAATAAATTTCTGAAATATTTTAAGAAATCTTACTAAGGGCATTTTTCCATTATGAAAGACACTTGAACATAAACAAAACCTAAATAAATTTGGTTTTGATACATGAAAAGCAGGTAATAGAAATATTTCCCCCTGCTCTGCTTTCTCAGAAAATTATTCAAGTATCAGACATGCACGGGATTAGTCTCAAAACTGTGAAACATCTGATAAAATTTGCTAGTGTCGTCTACAATCAGAGATTTACTTAAACTTGTTAAAAAAATTATTATTTGAAATACACAGCTCCTACCTGCTGGATAAGATGCATACATTTTGAAGACTGAACTCCATATGCATTGTTGACAATATGGGGAATGTCATAATTAGCACAAACCACAGCCAGTTCTTCCAGTCTATGAGCATAAAATTGTAATTTAGAGAAGCATTAATAACTAACTTATGTTACAAATCAGACCATTAAAAGACTGAAAGGTCTACAAGGATGTCAGAAAGAGAAAAGAAACTTTTTTGATTAATACCTCAAGGTAGCACTTGTCACCTTCAGCTATAATGTTAAGAAGAAAATTCTATTAGTTTTTACATATACCACAAATTGTTGACCTAGGCTGAAATTTTTCATGCTTCACTGAAAGTTTTGCCTGGAATACAGTAAATAGATCCCAAATCATTCTGCTTCAGATATAAGCATTTTTTATGTTAATGATAACTATCAGAGCTTTAGCTATTCACACTTTTCTCCCTTTTCTTCTAATATTCAACCTGAAAATAGCCTAATGGAAGTTTCAAGATGTGTCTTGGGAATGAAAAGCATCATATAACGCTAAGTCTTTATATGTTTCTGTTTATTTCAAGGAACTAATATTTCAACCCTTTGGCTGAAATCTCACTTGCATACTTCAGATAAACTGATTAACAGAGAACAGATTCTTCAAAGGAATGGAGAGCCCTACAATGTCTGAATGTGGAAATCAACAAATTAAAACTTTGTTCAACTATTTACTCAGAAATAAAGACGACTCTTCATTTGCCTTTAGAAATCCCTGAAATCACAGTGAGCTCAGCCTGGAATCATTTCTCAGTCAAACTAGGATTTATGTGGTGCATAGCTCATTTTGGGTAAGGGCCTTCAGCATCTTAAACACAAATGTACTTAGTACCCTTTTTTGAAACACTCCAGTCATGCTCTATTTTTTAAAAAGACTCTGGACTTGTGAATGCATTTTAGAAATAAAAATCTATTTGAAAAAATAAGGTACTATATAATTATTTAAAGTGATGATAAAGGTAATATTATTTTTTAAAAAATCAGGAAACTCTAAACCTTCAATGCATTTTTACTCTATCTCCTTCTGTACAGCCCCTCTCTGTAATTTACTGACATTCATATAAAATGTGACAGAGTATGAAAACATTTTCCAAGAGGTGACATTCCTTTGCATTCTATTTCTATTACATTGCCTAGTGTTGTTTTGTAATGCAAAATTCAGCTGCAAACCTATGATTAAATTTTCTAAACCTCAACCCTTAGGAAAACATCATCACCACCACTGTATTATCGCTAAAGAAATCACAAGTATTTCACAATTAGGAAACACCAGTAGTATAATGCCCATATTGATCTTCTACAGTCAAGACATTCGGCAGGAGCTGCATGTCCAGTAATTTGTCATATTTATCTACATCCTGAATCCTGAACTATGTAACATTAACAGAATACTCCAGGAAACGGTAACACTACACAGGGCAAAGTTTTTTGCTTCTGACCTGCTGATCTTAATCAGACTTATTCCACACCTTCCACAGAGACTCAACAGAAAAGAGTTCCCCTCTTACAGGCTTCTTTTCAAGTTCAGGTAGAGAATTTCACCAAACTGGAAACGTAGAGGGTGTACTGCTCTGTATGTTTGTCTTTCTCACCCTGTGAGACTTCAAGGAGTAATAATCTAGTATCTACAAGTACTGAAAACAGAAAAGTCTCTTTACTTTTCCTAAAAATATTCTATTGAACAAGAGATCCATATTGCAATACAGGATGAGAGTGCTACAGTTTGAAAAGAGTACGTGATTATGCAAGGGAAGCAAACAATTATGCACACCACTTGTCTGCTTCCAAGGCTTAAAATGAATCATCAAAAGAGCTGCTAGTCATATTAAAAAAATAAAGTATTAATGTAAGTTTGGCTACTACTTGAGTTGTTAAGTCACAGGACTTACAGAAATATTTTGCATCTTGTTCTTTCTCTCCTTCTTGTGAAAGTTCATAAAAAGAAAGCTTTGCTCTTTCTTCTAATATTAATGAAAGTAACAAGATACAGGGTTCTGCTAAGTACATAACCTAACTGAAAAAGACTTTTATTTTCCTTTAGTTCTCTAAATATGGTAGTTTTAGAGACAACTCACAGCAACAGCAGCTAATATACTGACTAAGAACTGATGTCTCTCTGAGGGAGGGGGTTTATACACTAGTGAATTATTCCCATAAAGTTAAATAATATTTCAAAGGAAAGCTATAGGTACACAGGCATAAAACTCTCACCCTGACCTTTTAACAATCCTAGGCCACTTAAAATTTTAAAACACCACCACCACAACTAAACAAAGCCTTACAAATGCAAGATATTTAAAAACAGACATTTAAAATGGTACTCTCCAGAAACGCTGTATGGGATTTTCCTTCCTGTAGGAAGATGAATGTTATGGCCTTCAATAGCTGACAGTATCCTTTAAATAGAAAGTGCATTCAAATCCTCCTATATCTGTGGTATATCATAACACAGTGCCACTGCCTAATAATTCATCTTTTAGTTGCAGAGGACAAAACAATCGCACGTCAAAAAGAGGAGGCAGATAAGGAAAAGATTAATTTACCCAAGCTATAAAATAGACCATTCAATTTTGATAGCTGTGATTTAAGTTAGCCAATAAATCTGCAAGTCAACTTCAAGCAATGTTCATAGTATTCTGACAGAATTATATGGTTTTAACTTCCCTCTAGCAATTGGGTTAACCTATGATAAATACAGGGGTTTTTTAAAGGTAGGAAAACAGAGCAAAACATATCTTTACTTGCCATGTTTCAGAGTCAATAATGTTTCTTTCCTACACTTGCAAACATTCAACTAAATTTTCCAGATAACAAAGTAATTAACAAAAAAACATGCACTGCAGAGGAACTGTGAAAATAAGTCTTTTCAATTTAGTGATAAATTAAAAACAATTAAAGTGGAACAACCGAGGCACTACATTTAAAACCATGTAAAAAAAGATGTCTTGTTAATATCTCGTAGTTTAGTGTACTACACACAAGCCCATAAAAATATACCTGTTCAATTGTAAAACCTAACAAATTTGCTTCTTGATACTTATTCTCATAAGCAAATAGAGAAAACAGGTTTTCTGAGTAACAATGGTGCTCATTTTGGACAAATGACTCAATATACCAAGTGTTTTAGCCACCTCTACTCCAACATGTCATTTGCAGATTGAGAAGATTTTCAAGTATTTCAAAACCAAACTACACATTGAAATAATCTCAGATACTCTATTTTCCATCCATAACTGTAATATTCATCTCAGCTTCAGCTAGTGCTTGAATGACATCTTCATAGCAACTACAGAAGTTATATATATGGACACATAATATTAGGAAAGAACGTAATGTATTTTAAGCTTCTTTTAATGGTGATTTAACAGCTGGAAATTGTAAGAAGTAGCATCATGCAATCAGGCAGCAAACGTTCAAACTAAGACAAGTTACAGCAGGGCAAATCATATGTTATACTCGTACACCACATCTGCCCTAGATGCTTCCAAGAGTTCCCTTACATCAGTATATCTTAATTAGCCCTAGAAACATCAGTATAATCCAGGAAAGAGTAATTCAAGCAAAGATTTTAAATTTAGCTGTAGCTTTTTTTTTTTTTTTTAACTGTATTAACAGCCTGGGAAAATTCATCATTGGCTAGAGAAGAGTAGAAAAGGCAACAGTAATATTAAAATATGGCATTAGGTATGGAACTACATTTCCTGGACTATGTTTCTATGAAAGTCTACTTTTACTACTTCCACGAAATAAGAAATCCACTGCCAAACTGACATTCATTTCACCAGAAAAGATCATCATTAACCTCAGTTATATGACAGAAGGAAAACCTTCTGCATTATTCCCACTTTTTTAATATACTTTTCTGAAAGTGGAACATTGTTTCAACCTGCCATTTTTCTTAAGCAAGGGATTAAATTCTCTTTACTAATTGTTGGCAGTAACTATGTAATTTTAGGAGTGGACATTCAAAACACAGAGGGATGGTTTGTTCGGGTTTTACAGTAACAAATAACACACTTCTTACAAAGACTACTTACCTATCAGGTACCCTGGGAGCAAAGCAAGACGTTGTAGAATGCACACAAAGAATATTTTCAGCACCCAGAGTCTTGATTTTAGCCTCCACTGCTTCAACATCCGTCCGTAGCTCATCGCCTTCTAATACATTTTCTATCACCACAGGCTCAAAACCTGACCCAAAAAAGCAAGATCTGAATGTGCATCATCAAATCTCTGACTAATTGTGGGGTTTTAGTTCCAGTGTAAATCTGAAAAATCTTGCTTCTGTTGTTTTAACAGTCTTCCAGACATGGATTTAGAACACAGATACATAAACTGTTTTATTGTACAATGTCCACATAGCTAAAAACTACAGTAACATTCTTGTTAAATACTCTAGACAAAAGCTTACCTTACATTCTTTGCATGCAACAGCAACAGGTTTGAAGATTGTTTTAAAAACAGATTAACCTCTTCCCTCCCGATTAAAAAGAGTGTTTGAGTGGCATTCTTGTAAAACATTAGCATACTAAAACAGTCTCTCTAAAAAAGGATGCTATTAGATGTAGCAATACAATAATGATCATTATGAATTGGCTTTCATCATAAGCCTCTGCCTTATTCAATATATAAACTTCCAAATTACTTCTTAAAAGATAAAAATGTCCACGTTTGACCTCATTTTGAAAGTGAACTTTGTCATATCGTAAACCCCAAGCTATTTCTCAAGTCTTTTACCCTTTATCCTATTTTTTTAAGTTTCCAGCTTAAGTCTGTATTTAAGATGTTCAATAGTTGAACCTCATACAGTTGTTTCTCAAGGACACATATAAGAAATGTTTGAAAAAAGGAAGTTATCCCCTTCTTCTAAATGTTGGAATGTTTCCAGTTTTGGAATGTGCTGCTCAGGAGGGATGTTGAAAAACCAGAGAGGGTCTATCATAGAATCATAGAATGGTTTGGGTT